GTCTCCCCTTCAGGACCAAAGCCTGCACTGCCCACGCGCTCAGGAGAGCTGGCTCTGACTTCTGCGAGGCGCTCATCAGGGAGCCCCACTCAGGAATGGCCCTCGGCCGGAGGGAGCGGCCTCATGCAGGGCTGCAGCCGGTTTGCAATGGCGTCTGGACACGGGGCTCTGCGGGAACCCAGGCCAGCGCCCTGGGCCCATCAGGAAAACTCTGAAGGGCCATTTCCTCGGCCAGCCTCCCTGGGTATCCCCTGAGGCTTCCCCTGTGACCACGTCCCAGCTCCCCTCCCCCTGGGCCCCCTCCGGCCCCTCAGCCCTCACTGGGGTGTCTCTGCGAGCGCTCCCCAAAATGCCCTGCCTGGGACCTTCTGTGTCAGAAGCGGCTTCCCAGGAGCCTGAGACCTGGCTCTGGTTTAGGCACCTGACAGACACCTTTTCCCAGCTGTAATTCTGGGCTAAAAACAGAGTAGGGAGTAAGAGTTAACAATTTCCCTTACAAATTGAAAATGAAAATATTTAGTAGTTTCATTCAGCAGAGACATTTTGCTGAACACAGAGGCTTTGTTTGGATGGAGAGGCGTCTCCACACAGCGTCTTTCCTTCTGTGAGCTTCTGGCGCTTCAATTATTTATTTTTTAATCAAGTTCTAATCCATTGTTGGATGGATGTTTCTCAAGTAGTTTTTTTTTAATGTAGTAAGTTTCCTAAAAATTAGGATCCATGTGTCATTATAGAGAATAAGCAGACAGGTGGTGAATGGACTTATATTTAATGCTGAATGACATCAGCCTGAACCCCTGGAAGAGAAGGGCCCTTAGGAGAGTCTTTTCCCTCCCTCTACTTGCAATTAATTTTGTCAGTTTGTGATCTACAGCATCAGATCATAGGGGAAAAAAATCTGATCATCACCTTAATTTCTTTAAAGAGGATCACAGGCAACTAATCTGCAAATTTAACTTCTCTTCCTGTTTCTGAACTATTTCTTTGCAAAGAGAAAGATGTTCACTGAGCCTATGGTAGATCTTTAAGTCACTGAATTTCTTTCTTAAGCTGTTAGTTTTGGTGCTCTTTTTGATAAACTTGGTGGCATTAGGTCCCAAAAGAACATAGGTGATCAAAATTTTTAAACATTTTATCAATTATCAATTTTAAAACTAATAATATTTGCAGTGAATCCATTTGAAATATACATCAGAAACCAACAGATAGCATGTGGAGCAGGATTTTATAAAAGGCTGTTTTAAAAAATATTTATTCCATGCCTTTCTAGTCCTTGGCATGTACGGAATTTCATTTTTATATGTTTTGATGTCATAAACAATCATTTGTGTGTGTGTGTGTGTGTGTGTGTGGTTCCATATAAATTTGGGAACTTGTCCTTATTTCGTGAAAAATATCAATGGCATTTTGATAAGGATTGCATTAAATATGAACTTTGTTTTGGGTAGTATGGACTTTTTCACAATATTAATTCTTCCAGTGCAAGGACACAGTATATCTTTCCATTTCTTTGTTATCATTTTCAAATTCCTTCATCAATGTTTTATACTCCACAGAGTATAGGTCTTTTACTTCCTTGGTTAAGTTTATTCTTAGGTATTTCATTCTTTCTGCTGTGATTTTAATCAGGATTATATTCTTGCTTTTTCTTTTTGATAGTTCATTATTAGTGTATAGAAAAGCAACAGAGTTTTGTATATTAATCTTGTATCCTGCAACTTTACTCAAAACAGCATGGTACTGGCACAAAAACAGACACATTGATCAATGGAACAGAACAGAGGACCCAGAAGTAAACCCATGCAGCTATGGCCAATTAATCCATGACAAGGGAGGCAAGACAATGGAGGAAAGACAGTCTCTTCAACAAGTAATGCTTGGAAAACTGCACAGCTACACATAAAAGAATGATTTAGAACATTCCCTTATACTGTATTTAAAAATAAGCTCAAAATTGTTTAAAGACCTAAATGTAAGACCTGAAACCATCAAACTCCAAGAAGAGATCATAGGCAGAACACTCTTTGACATTAATTGTAGCAATTTTTTTTAGATCTGTCTCATAAGGGAAAGAAATAATAGCACAAATAAACAAATGGAACCTAATTGAACTTAAAAGCTTTTGCACAGCAAAAGAAACCATTGACAAATCGAAAAGACAACCTACTGAATAAGAGAAAATATTTGCTAATAATATGACCAAGAAGGGAAAAACATCCAAAATCTATAAACAGCTCATACAACTCAATATCAAAATGAAACAAGACAAAGAACCCAACCAAAAATGAGAAGACCTAAATAGACATTTTTCCAAAGAAGATGTACAAATGAAAAACAAGCAAATGAAAAGATGCTCAACATCAATAATTATTAGAGAAATGCAAATCAAAACCACAGTGAGATACCACCTCATGCCTGTCAGAATGGTTTAGCATTAACAAGTCTACAAATACCAAATGTTGACAAGGATATGGAGAAAATGGAACCCTTATACACTGCTGGTGGGGATGTAAATTGATACAGACACTATGGAAAACAGTATGGAGGTTCTCAAAACACTAAAAATAGAACTATAATATGACCCAACCACTCCACTCCTGGGTATGTATCCAGAAAAAACATTCATTGGAAAAGATACATGCACCCCAATGCTCATGGCCACATTATTTACAGTAGCTGAGATATGGAAGCAACCCAAGATATGGAACCAACCCATGGGAAGTACCCATGAACAGATGAGTGGATAATGGAATATATCTACAATGGGCATATATATATATATATATATATATATATATATATATATATATATATATATATAATGGAATATTACTCAGCCATAAAAAGAATAAAATTCTGCCATTTGCAGCATATGGATAGATCTAGAAATTTTTAGTGAGATATGTCAGACAGAGAAAGAGACATACTCGGTGTTATCCGTCATATATGGAGTCTAAAAAATAAAACAAATGAATGTATACAACAAAACAGAAACAGACTCACAGATATAGAGAACGAAATAGTAGTTACCAGTGGCGAGGAGAAATATAGGGATAGGGGATTAAGAGATGCAACTACTATGCATAAAATGGATAAGAAACAAGGATATATTTTATAGCACAGGGAAGTATTGAATCACTATGTTGTACACCTGAAACTATCCACCTTTGTAAATCAACTGTATTTCAGTAAAAAGAAGAGCTTATGTAGGCTGGTTGTCCTACATTCAGAAACGTCACTAATCATTCCAGTGATGTCACAAGGTTCTGCAAGTTTTTTAAGAACATTTCACCTATAATTTCAGGATTCACTCACAACCATCACTTAGATCCAGTGCTTCGCTAAGGCGGGAGATAGCAT